ACAGGACCTGGAAACCCGTAGAGCTGCCATTGGCCATCTACCTACTACAGAACCCGGAGCAGCTATCACACTAGGTGAAGAATTTTATATTTTACAAGATTATTTTATCTTTGCAAATAAGCAATGCTTCACATATAAAACCATATACAAATCTATATAACCATATGGTGTACAGTGGTCAGTAGAGATACTAAAATATGTGCTACCAGTTGCTTTAGAACAAAACATTGCAAATGGTCATTAACAATATGCTAATTAAAAAACATTTATGTCATTATTATGCATGTATGTGTGTTTTGGGCAAACATAATTGTATGTCAGAGGTGCGGCAGTCCACTGCAGGGTGCAGGACACAGGTACATGTAGCAAAGGTGGGGGGTCTTGGCTGCTAGGAGAAGGAAACTGGTGAGGAAGTGAAGTGTCAGAGATTGGTTCCCTTAACCTTGGTGCAGCAGTCAGTCATCCATAAAACAACCCCCTCTCCCTCCCTCACTGCCCCACACTTTCACTGGGGGGGGGGCTGCTCTTTCTACCACAGCCCTCCCTCCATCTGTTGTGTTGCGCTGATCACCGCTGGGCCTCAGGGATCTACAGCCTATTGCCCCACACTGATGCCCCAACCTTGTCACTGTGACAAGGGTTAAAGACATAACTGGAGCAAAGTTGCATAAAACTAAAAGAATAGTGTCAAATTTTCCCAGACATCCATTTTGTGTGACGTTTCCAGCAATGGATTATTACTCATGAAATTCCAGTATTCTGATAATAATTGATAATGAAAATTCTGACAATGTTTGTTTGTGTTTCGTTTCTGTTCATTCACAGATTACAAGAAGCCTTCCCTTGTACTGAGCCAACCATATGCCTACAGTCTGGTCAACTTTATGGACTTCACTGCAAAGCAAAAAGGAGACAACAGAGATGGCAAACAGGTACATTGATGCTGCCGTGCATTTATCATCAGGAAATAACAGTAGGGGTCACTATTGTTCCAGTTAAGAGGCTTGACAGATTCTCCGATTTGGATGATCTCATTTCTGGTCCCTGAGGATTTTGCTTCATCACAACCCAGCAGGTGCCCTCTTTACTACCCTTCATCCCCCTTTCTTCTGTCCTCCAGCATAAACACCATTGCTTTTAAGATCTCCGCCTACAATGATGTCATTTTCCAAATATGAAGGCAGTGTTTCAGGGGATGTGAATCACTTGCATTGTATCTTGAAGTACAGAGTCAAATGTGCATGAAATACCACACCATGTAGCTATTATATATTTGTCAAAAATACAGTATTGACACTGATGTAATCCCCTGTTTTATATTACATACTTTTACTGTTTTCTTTTGCACTGACTTTACACTGCTAAGCACTGTAATATTGTTGCACGGATATGACAGGGTAATTGTTTTACTGAGGTTTCATTGGATAATTGTTTAATAGGGATGCGGTCAGCTAATTATTTTGTTCAGAATTGGGGACCATATGGAGCCTGGCAGGTGAAACATAATTAGACCATGTTAATTTATGATGATTATACCTTGGGCCTGAGCAGCCTATACTGTACACACAGTATGTGTCTATCATGGCCAATCTATTTTGGTTGTACTTTGCATGCTTTTAGTGAGTGCATTACATTCATTAACTTGTAGTCTCAGTGTGAGTGTGTGCTTCCAGAGGGTTGATTTGCTGCTCTATTTGTTACTCCAGGCCAGAAACAATATTGCGTAGAATTTGGAAAGGAGAGATATTAATGAATAACGTGTGAAAATGTATTTAAGAAAAACCCTTAATGGCTGATCTATTTAATGCCAGGATGGCGAAAGATAAGAAAACCAGGATATTAAAGATTTTTATTAGTGCAAGCTATACATTTTGATCTCGTCCCATATGACCTCATGCAAGACTGTTTATTAGGGTTTTGTGACCAGGTTAAAAATGAGATATTCAACGTGTTGAAAACAAAGTCATCGATCAAACTGTAGAAGCTCACAAAGAGATCATGACCGCTTAAAAGATATCACAAAATGAAATATTATCGACTTTGATGTCTTTATGAAAATGCCAATATTTAGAGAGAGAGAGGCGGGGAGTGGTAGTGTTGGGTGATGTTGCATGTTGAAACATTCAGGATTCAAGGGGAGACGAATGGCCTCTATTAGGAGCATTTAATCAGTGCTCCCAGTCCCCCGTGCCCCCTGGGGAAAGATTAATGGGTACAGGATATTTCATCAGTCCCTCCACATCACTGCCCAGGATATGAGGTTGTAATTGTGTCTGTTTTTGCTGTTGTTTTGTGTTACAGGCAGACAAAGAGGAGCCCGCAGGTTGGAGTAGTTTGGGGAGGGGTTCACAAGGTGCCATAAGAAGTGGGAGAGCACGATTAAGGAAAGGAAAACGAGTGAAGAGAGCCTGAGGATTTAGTACATCTATGAAGCACAGGAATGCGAGTGGAGGACTGAATTAAATGAGAAATATATTCTTTAAATCTTTGAACATGATGTATCTTTCTTTTGATGCAGAAATACATTTTGAATCCAAATCTGTATTTGATATATTAACCCAAGGCAATACCGTAAGGATGAACTCACACCTGATTATACAGCAGGCTTGATGATCACCACATTGACTTTTCACCTTGACATGATCTCCCCCTTCTCATCAATCAACTGGTCAGATTGTTCTGATGCTTGCCACTGCTGCTGCTATCAGCAGGCTTTCCCACTCAGTGATATTGTCCTGCCACACCCTTTTTCTTCCACTGTAATACCACGTGTCAGGACTCACTCAATAATGAATTTCTCAGGAATTATTGATAGACATAAATTATTAAATATTTTGCTAATTAAAACTCCAGTAAAAAAAAAATGTATTGTGTATTTTTATTATCTGGTCAACATTACAAGGATGTGTGTAAGACCACTTGAAGCATCAATGCACTACATTTAAAATGCAGTGATGGTGTCCTTGAATATTATTCTGCACTTAAGATTCTTCACTATTTTTTTTTCCTCTTGAAAAAAGGATGTTTGCTTTGCTGCCATTGTATCTCATGAAAAATGGATGACCTCCTAGTGCTTTCTGCTGCCCATAGCTCCCTATATTTGCACAGAGCCCAGGGACTGCATTTGGGTTAGCATCCTCCTCCCTCCCTCCCTCCCTCCGTGGCTTGTTCTGGGGGTGAATAACTTAACACATATTTCAGCTTGACACACTTCTGCTCTGGGTTTCCCCTGGGTGTCCAGTTCACGAGCCCACACATGCTGTATTATTTAAAAGTGTGGTTTGGAGTTTTGTGTGTGGATGTGCATGTAATCTCCCATGTTTGTTAGGGGGAATGTCATGGAGTTATTAGGACTTTCCCTATGACCTTGCAGGTGTGGCAACACATATGATACCAAATAATGTCTGTTTTTCTGTTGTGTGCTTTGATTTTTCTATTAGACAAATTGAGAAAATGCTGTTTAACCAGCAGTATCACAATATCACAACAGAAAGGTTTAAACTACAAAGTGATTTATTACAGAAAATACTAATCTGGACAATTTATCATACGCCCAAGAATAAACACCAGTCCGCTCCAAAAAAAGCCCAAGGAGAACAAAACATAAGTAACGATATCTAATGATCCTAAAAAACAAACCAGCTCCAAATGTTGGAATGAAATCAACTTTCAGGCCAAGACCACATACACACATAAGCACACACACCCAATAACTCAAGCTAATCTGAGAGCTGATAACGTCATGAAAATCAGAGTGCTGTGCTGCTGCAAAATGACACATAAATCATGTGCAAGGGTGAAGATGCAAAATGCTGCAGTTTGTATGATGGATACAAATAGCCTTCTAATGTCTGGAAAGCTCTCGTATAAATACTTGTCTTTGTGTTGCATGGGGTGTTTTGCAGGAAACTGCAGTATGAAATTATATTTTTTAACGCAAAATGTCTCAATGCCAGCCTTTAAACAAGCTGGTCACTTTGCTGTTTAACATTTTCCACCTAAAATTTAAGGTTTTTACATTTTCTAATCACAATCAAAGCATTATTAACAATTAACTGAAGGTCTTTTCATTCCAACATTTTGCACCATCTGTAGACTGCACGTCAAGGCAATGATCATACATCGAACATGAAAGAGAGGTCTGACTATGCAGGTGCACCGTGCAGTGCCCACTGGAGGGCACTGTGAGCGGCACTGAGGCTGGGTGGCCAGGGAGGTTGAAAGACACCTTGGCTAGCTCACCAGATGGGCTCAGTGAAGCATGTCAGATGGCTGTGACAGCTACCTGCCCTTCCTTAAGGACTGTCACCATGTATAAACAAACCATTACTCTAATTTGTGAGTGCACTGCCTTATATGTGTGCACAAAATATGTACCCACTGAAAGAACATAATTGGAGAGTTGCACCTGCAGTATCTAGTCTGCCATAAAATACATGAAGTATTTGCATTAATCTCTTAAACCCCAGCCATGCTGTGCAACCAAACTTGTTCAAATCAAAATAATTTTATCATTTAAAAAATACCAAAGATGCCAGGCTGAATTTTGGGGAAATAGTTAAAATGATGCACAGAACATGTATATTTAAATTTGATGGAATAGTACAGCCATAAAAACTGTATTTTTCTGATTGTAACCATAATACAGCTTTAATGGAGAGTCTGAACCAGCTGAAACAGAACACAATATATGTGATACTGCCAGACAGTGTGGTGTAAGCTGAATTGTCTTTATATCTAAGGGCAAAACGGTATGTTAGGAGGTTAAAATGTCATAATGATGTGTTAAAAACATAAACTGTTACGAATAGGAACACGAGTGAAGAGGAACATCTCCACAGTCTGGATATAGATAAGATGGAGAGCCCTGAAGGCCTCAGCCTGCTCATTAATTTGCAGCAAAGCGTCGTCGTTGGATGCTGCGCCTCCGCTCATCGCTGACTCCACTGCGCAGCCGCAGTTTCTTCAGGACGCAGAGAGCCGAAGAGGGAGACAGAAAAATGGCCATCGATAATTTAATTTTCGCCCAGTGCATCCTTTATTTTTTAGCCTTCGTATTCGGTTTCATCGCCGTGGTTCCTCTGTCGGAAAACACGGAGGACTTCGGGGGGAAATGCCTGCTCTTCACGCGGGGTATGTGGCAAAATGAGAACATCACTGTGTCGAAGCAGCGCTTCATCGTGGAAGAGTGGGGACCCGAGTCCTCCTGCAGCTTCATCACTTTTGTCGGGATAGCGTCCCTCATCCTGTCCGCAGTGCAGGCATGGAGGCTGCTCTTCTTTCTGTGCAAAGGACACGACGAGTGAGTGACATTTCACTTGTGCTCGTTCAACACTATTCAGTACCGGCATCTAAAGCTCAGTAGGACAGCCTCCGGTTAAATGAAAATGTATTTTTCTGTCCATCTCCCACGCCCTTAAATGCGCGCTATTCAGTCAGAATCATATATGATATGAGCTATGATATAATGGTAACAGTCATAGAATGAGCCTATAAAAACGATTAGTCACTGTCGTCCTCCATTATAAAGATGGAGGGAATACACTAGTGTGGCCCTTGAAAATCAAAGTCATACTGTGGCTCACATACAGTATTTCCATGTGTGACTGAAGGACACCATTCATGACAGAGAACTAAATCGTGCTGCATGACTGACATTAACATTAAGCAGGGAGGGCTCAGGTTTTAATCCTCTTCAGTTTCTCTTCTACCTGCCCTGCAGCTCCATCTTCAATGCCTTCCTCAACCTGCTGATCAGCTCCCTGGTGGTGTTCACCGTCTTCCTGTCCAGCACCATCGTCAGTGTGGGTTTTAACATGTGGTGCGACTCCATCACAGAGAGTGGGACAATGCCCAGCAGGTGAGAGATCAACACACAAACCAAACTTTCCAGACTATTTCATTACACAACGCAGTGCGCCCCCTAAACCCAAGCTCATGTGTTTTATGTTTTAGCTGTGAGGACCTGCAGGACACTGATCTAGAGCTCGGCCTAGACAACTCTGCTTTCTACGACCAGTTTGCTATAGCTCAGGTGAGTTTGTTTTATTGTTAATATCATCCAGACAGTTAAACAAAATCCTGAATCTCAATCATGTTTAAAAATAATGTCCCTTCTTGCAGTTTGGCCTGTGGGCCGCCTGGCTGACCTGGCTTGGGATCGCAGTGATGGCCTTCTTGAAGGTATACCACAACTACAGACAAGAGGACCTGCTGGACAGCCTGATCCACGAGAAGGACCTGCTTCTCGGCCGCTCTTCGCGCCGCGGCTCTGACCTCAAGACCGGCCTGATCTAGAAACCGGGGGACGCACAAACACACTCACTCACACTTAACCGTACAATCCTCTCGCCTGCCATGAGAAACACCAATGTTTGCCTATGTAGACAATCAAATTGGCTTTTGCTCCCATTAACCATGGATTGAATCAAATGGAAGGTTTTAGCTTTGTTTTTTCAAAGGTAATTGATTTTCCCCTCAAACAATCTCCCAATGGTTGTTAATCCTTGAAGAGTCCGGCTTTATCAAGTTTATTCATCCACTGTGTGCATTCCTCTTCCACACACACAACCATAGTTCAGCTCTGATAGTATTAAAACCATTTAATGCAAATGTACACCCAGTTTTTCTCATGAATTTTTATTTAGCAACACTGTATTAATGACTTGGTCAGATTGACTGATGGATCATGTTGTCTTTGTGAAACTTCTGCATGGACCTAATGCATGACAAATTAATAGGGTGGTGGTTTTTAGATGTAAAGGGATGTTCTTTTGTTTTATACACCAATAAATGTGTTCCTAAAGTAGGCTTCTTTCTGGTAGGATGCGCCTCTGCACACTACTTGAAGTGAAAATTCTTTGCATGCTGCAGCAAAGCCAAATAATAATGTGTGCTTTTGCAGTGTATTCACACTTTTATCAGCAGTTACAAAAGGTGTTTTATAAACATGACAAATTGTAGTTCAGAACATTCATCTATCGGGCAGCCAGTCCAAAAATGCTTTTAGCAATCTGTGTGAGATGAAAAACAAATCCTATTTTGTGCCATATAGTAACTCAGGCTTTTCCTTCACTTTATAGGCTACAACCAATATACTGTATTACTGTGAATAGACGCACAAATGTACCTGCATGCATCTCTCTCCCTATTACATACACATCACACACTCACTTGCTGTCAGAGATAAGAGGAAGAAAGGAAAACATCTGCTTGACTTTGATAGGCAATGACAGTTTTATTCAAAACAACTGAAATCATAAAACGGTAGGAACTAAGAAAACCCTCCATAAAGGCACTTCTTTCAAAGTGACCATAAATGTTTGGACAGCCGTGAAATGCAGCTTCTAAGCTAAATGTGCATATAAAGGACATGAGTTCAGTGGGTTTTGTTTTATTGCTAATGACAATTTAGTTTGACAGTACAGAGTGGAGAGTATTTCTTCCTTCTATTCAGGCGTTATTAGCCTTATATTGCTTTGACATTCAAATGTGAAACCTCAGAAAATCCTTTCCTTTTGAGTTCCCTGAAACTTGTTATATAAACAACAATGTTTTACTGGAAACTATGTGATGTGTGTTATTGCTCATAATGAGAGGTCTGTGGGATGTGCATCACTGTGCCCTTTGATTCCTATAATCCATTTGTGTGGTGGTTTGGCTGTTTGAATTATATTTCCTTCATTTGATAAAGGGACTCATATAATGACATACAGTATCTGATTCTGTTACATTTCTGTGTTTGGCCTCATATTAGTAGTAATGAACTTGATATAAGGAGTTGTTTTTTGATGTATAGCCCACACCCATCCGTACATTTATCCAAAGCTTGATGAGCATTTGACATCATGATTAAAACCTGAATATTATTGTTTTTAAATAGAAATGTAACTGGTAACAAAAAGTTAAAAAACTTTAAAATAATCAAAAGTCGGATATTTGCGTAGATGCAGATATACAGTATAGAAGAATAAATAACATTTAGGTTAAAGGATATTTCGTGGGATTCAAGCGGTTATAAAGAGGAACACTGTCAAAAGCATTAGCATTCATTCAGTTTGAATATATTCTCTTCAACGATAGATAAGGAGAGAGAATTCATAACATTGTGCTGCAGATTTCCTCCTCAGCGGAGCAAGGAATCAGCTGGAGAGAGTCTGTAAAGAAAGAGGTGTTTTTCATCTGTTAGTTATTCAACCTGGTACCGTGAATTGATGCAGCCCTGTGTTTTCTATCGAACACTTTACACATTTGTGCTTCCATCTTCCTCCTCTCGAATGTGCAGCGTGCCAATCAAAGCTGTTTCCAAACATCTCTACATTCATTTATGTGCAATTACAAGGCTGAGTATTGTGATAGTCCTTAGTATATTGAGCCATATATACACATTCAGTTCGTGTAATATCTGATATACACAAATGATGCACTGTAACAAAATAAATATTTGCATTCCATGGAACCACTCATTCACATACAATAGACAGTGACATGACCTGGAAAATCCGATGGTTGTGGTGATTAAGTGAGCGCTATATGTGAGGATCAATATTGCAGATGTGCAAAATCATTACAACTTAAATAAGAAGTGGCGTGCCCACCACCTTAGTATATGTATATACATACAGACATGGAAGCTACATATTTCTGGGATTACACATTTTTCCCTTTTTCACTGTGAGAGTGGTTCAACACCACAGTGCACAGAGCCTTGCCAAATGGCTGAGGTGTTTGTAGGCCGTGGCTCCTTCCAAGATATGAAAAAAAGAGGGGTCTGAAAAAAAAAGCACATAAAGGAGGCTCCATGTCGCCACCTGTGGTTGGTCTCAGTCACTGCATGGTCAGCCATATCCAGCAGCCCCAAAGAAGCTGTTTCATGTGCAGCAGGTAGACAGCCAAAGCGGCCTCCAGCTCCTCACACACTCGCTGTGGGCGCCTGCGGTCTGTGCAGTACATGGCCACACCCAGGAATGACATCAGCAGGAAGAGGCAAGTGAACAGGGCGAGGTGGGGGCGGGACGGTGTCGTCTCATAGGCTGGAAAAAACAAAACAAAAAAAACAAGACTAGTTATCACAAGTTTGGTTTGTAAATTTGAATTTGAACCGCCACATGCACAGATCTCTCTCTTTTCTCTTGACTCAACAAGTCAAGACCTCAAGAGGAAAGTTTTTAATAGAGGATTTCATGTGATCACGTACATACAGTGTAGTGTCACACAAACAGTGCTTTCTGTGTTTCAAACATTGTTAAAAAGGGGGAGACAGTGAAACTCTATTTTACACGACAGGCAACACAGTTAATTAAAGGACTTTAACCTAACAATAAACTGAAATCCTTTTTCTTTATTCTTTCCCCACACATATTTTCCACCCAGACTTTTTTTTAACAAAAAAATGTGTAGTGTTGATGTCACTCTGTCATGCACATTAACACAGCGATTCTTTCAGACAGACTTACCACCTAAACAGTCACAGTAAGGAATGTCTGTGAAGCCGACAGAAAAGAAGCCAGTCAGTCAACAAGAGCCAACCCCTGTGATGTTCAGCACCAACTGACTGTTGTGCCCTCATAGACTGCACTATCTCTCTGGAGCAGACTCCACGGTGCCTCATTTGCATGCATAATTAATTACGAAAGAGTAAATCACTTTCTTATATTTCTCTCGGCATTATATAATTTTTAAATAGTAGAGAATCCCCCACAGACAGTAGTTTACAATGCAAACTCAGGCTGTTTTTAATGCATTTTGTTTTTTCTCTTTAAAGGACAATTCCAGAGCAAAATGAACCTGGGGTTAATAA